TAGGAATCAGCATTAGGACATTGACTTTGATCTTCCTCCCCATTTGTGAAGTTAAGAAGGTCAGATTCTACCCCCACACCATACTTACAGGTTATGTAGGAAGGTGTTTATGCATATATGTGTATAGGTATATATGTGTGTGTATATATGTGTGTATGTACATGTGTATCCATAGCCATAGGTATATACATGTATGTGTCTGTTGTATACATGTTCATATATGTAATAAACCACACAGAAATCACAGCTATGGATATTTCTTATATATAACCAAATACTTCATGGGATTGGTTTTCTTATCTTGAAGGCTTTAAGGCCATAGTCTTCTGAGACAATTTGGTCATTTGACACAATATAAAACATAAAGCTTATGTTCTCCATTCTAGTTTGATGAGTAGCTGTTGGGGTCTTAAAAGCTTGAGAACAGCCATCTAAGAGACAACCGTTGGTCTCTACTCATCTGGAGCAAAAGAGACAGAGGAAACCAAAGATTCAAAGAAGAAACTAGCCTGCAGGACTAATAGCCTACATGAACCACGTCCTCATCTACTCTGATACCAGAAGAAATAGACAGTGCCTGGCTACCCCTAATGACCATTCTGATCAGGGACACAATAGATAAACCCTGATAAAATGGGAGAAAAATGTAGAACAATACTCAAATTCTTAAAATATTTACGACTTATTGGATCAGTTGAAGGAGCTCTGATGACATAGTGCTTAAGGCATTTGACTGCTAACCAGAAAGTTTACAGTTCAAATCCACCAGCCACTCCACAGAAGGAAGACTGGGCAATCTATTTCGATAAAGAATTTACAGTCTCAGAAACCCAAAGGGACTCACTATGAGTTGGAATTGACTAGATGGCAGTGAGTTTGGTTTTTTTTTGGTTTTGGGTCACTTGAGACTAGAGAAATCTCTGAGACTGTTGTCCTGAGATAGTCTTTAAACTCTGAATTTAAAGTACTCACCATCCAGCTAAGTAACAGATTAGCATATAAAATAAACAATATCACTCGTGAGTATTGTGCTTCATTTAAAAACATCAATATAAGACCAAAACGATAAACATTTACCCTACAGCAAAGATGAAAAGGTAAGGAAGACCATGGAAACTAGGTTAATGGAAACAGATCTACCAAAGCAGAAATAGTGAGAATATTCACACATTGTGAAAACTGTAGCCAATATCACTGAATAGGTTGTATAAACCCACTGCCAGAGTCAGGTCTGATTCATAGCAACCCCTCCTTGGGTTTCCAAGGTGATATCACTGCAGAAGTAGATTGCCCAAACTTTTTTCTGGGGAGTGGCTGGTGGGTTTGAACCACCAGCCTTCTGGTTAGCAGTCAGATGCCTTAGGCATGCCACCAGAGCTCCCAGTAAGTTGTATTGCTGTTGTTGTTATGTGCCATCAAGTCGGACCCGACTCATAGCGACCCCTCCTTGGGTTTCCGAGACAGTATCACTGCAGAAGTAGATTGCCCAACCTTCCTTCTGAGGAGTGGCTGGTGGGTTTGAACCACCAGCCTTCTGGTTAGCAGTCAAGTGCCTTAGTGAATTGTTA